CAGGCACTAATGAAATTGTTAATTGCAACTTTAAGTGATGATTTACTAAGTGCTCGGCGGTGAAGGACAACATCATGAAGAAACCGACATATCTGAGAATTAAGAAAAAAATATTTCAAAGACACGTGTGAAGTTCGCCAACACGCATTGGGGAAGGCGCGGACATTTCCTTGCCCTAAAACCCCTTCAGAAATGAGGGGAGGCCTGTGCCCAGCAGTGACATGTATATAGGCTGTAACTTTAATTTTTTTAACTAAAAATATTATTAATGAAGTTAGATCCTTTGGGCAACGAAGTTGCCTCTTAGTCTGGATATTACTGACTAGGGACTAATCCGCCGCGGGTCATTACAGCATAACTGTGTAACTTTGGTATGAACAAAGAATTCTATCTATGTACTCAGTACTAACACATGGCGCCTAAGTCACGGTCGATTCTCCGTTACTTCTTTGTTTTGTAAACCGCGAACGTTGTTTTCTACAATCGATCACTGATTTTGAACGCTATTATTATTTATATATGTGCGCACTTTGTAAACGTGATTTGATATATATTTGAGATAAGTACATAAACACTCATGCCTGTCACCCAGAGGGGTAGGCAGAGACTACAGACTTTCATTTGGCACGTCAGAAATACAACTCTCTCGTCTCATTTACATCCATATATGTACGCATACACGATCGTTGGTTAAGGCGCAGGTTGAGCAAAATGTCGCGCCAGTCGTTATTTGGGCGGTTTTTAGAAGCTATCTACTTTTTATTTATAAGATATATCAACAAATAAAAAACACATTATATTTCTACATAATCTTGATTCCATAAAAGCTATATCCAATTTTTTTTTAATCGAATAAATATTAATATAATCTCCTTACAACGAAACCACATAAATGTGAAATTGTTATTGATAACATGGATCTCCTCGTAAAGTAAGTATTATTTTATTTTGCGATTTACACCAATGGATAGGCAATTTATTAATAAACATTTCTATAGTAAATTTTTTTTCAAAAGACCAAAATTTGATTTTATTAAGAAATTATTTTAAAATCTGGGCATATTCACTGCTCACGGGCTTGCTTAGTCAGTGAGCCCTGAGCTCTTCGACGCGAAGCCCGTGTCGTTAGAGCGTCGACCAGCGCCGCATACACTCACGTAATATCAGTCGATAAATAATATTACTTATTAGGTTATTTATAGGTAGTATTATTTGTTTGTTTTGGGTATAATTTTTCGTATTAGTTATACATATATTTGTTGTGTTTTTTACTGCGCGATGAAGCTTTTTGCGTGTATTTTCTTTGAAGTAAATGCAAATAAAAAAATGAAGCACCATTAGCATGTAAGGTTCGAATCTATAATTAAAATTTCGACAAATATTATAATTTACACTATAAAAGGCTAATTCAATATTATCACCGAACCACAATATCTTATCAGGTATAGTACTGCCTCGTTGGTCTAGTGGTTGTAGTAGTGCGACTTCTGATCATGAGGTCCCGGGTTCGAATCCTGGGTCGGGAAAAAGGTCAGTTATGAGTTTTTCATTTTTGTTCTAAGTTATAATTAGTATTACTAAGTTATAGTTTTTTGCTAAAATATAGTATATTATTTATTGCTTGTTTTTTCTTCTTTTTCAAAAAATAATTGAGTACATAAGGTGTTCTATACTTATAATTCGGTAAAAAGTATCTAAGTAGGTACTAATATACCTACTTTTTACTACTAAAAATTTTTAAAACTAAATTTAACTAAAAAGACTAAACTGACCATTTATTTTTTAACTCAAAACAGGACATGGGTTTATTTATACTCTAAAAACTATAACTTTATACAATTAGTGTTCACTATAAAATTATATTCGGTATAGACGGTAATTATTAAATGCAACATATTTTTTTTAATTATTAATTACATTTGTCAGTGGATTAAATTTGCTTTAATAAAGTTGGTGATGATTTTAAATAAGAATAAAATTCTGCTCAAGTTTTTTATTGTTATCTTTGTTAACAACATCGCCTTTAGAACTCTGGAACCGTAAGTGTTTCTTTCAGACGTCCACAATTTATGCAAAATAAAAAAATACTCTTTCTACCGGAGCATTCGTACCAGGTAGACATAAAATATATTCGATTAAAAAAAATTATGTTGAAGATTGTTGACTTTGAATACTTCCATCCAACTAGTTACATGACAATTTTGTGTCCCGGAGCTTTGTTTGGGGACAATGGGACAGGAGACCGAGAAAAGGGACAGTCCCGTTCAAAACGGGACGTATGGTCACTTTAGCTATAACCCGGCGACCATGAAGCAAATACAAAGTTAGTCTTTGTATTAGCTTCATGGTGGCGCAGTGGCTTAGCAATCAGTTGTTGCGCTGGGGGCCGCGGGTTCGAATCCCGCATGGAACAAGTATTTGTATGGCCTACAAATAATTGTTCCGGGTCTGGATGTTTGTCTTTGTGCAATTTATGTTTGTAAACTGCCTCCACGACACAGGAGAAAATCCTAGTGTGGGGGTAACGTTTTTTTACAACTGAAATTGAAAGATTGAACCCTTATACTTCTTGTTGATTTTTGTATTACCTTTATTAAAGTTACCCTTATGTATAAATAAATATAATTACGTATGTAGAAATAAAATTGATTTTCATCCTCATCAATCATTGGGGTGAGGATAATATCTGCCAGCATAAGTTCAAAAATTAGTAGGTAACTTTTCAATACGTGACACGTAAAAATTAACAATAATCAAAAACACATATGCGAAACATCCTATTTATTTATTTATTTTTTATTGCACCAAATATTTGTACAAAAGCCGAGCTATCTATTTATTTACCTATAGTGAATAGGTATCTTTTAAACTCACAATTTTCAATGCTTCAGTTTTAATATATAATTAATTATAAAATTTCATAATTAGATAATATATGAAAATACATAATTCTAATATAATGCAACTAATATATACAGAATAAAAAAATTAAAATACATTTATCTTTGTACGCTATGTGTATTTCCATAAAATAGTTTATTGATGTTGAAAAAATAATACTACTTTCGTACAATAGGTGGCGTCTTACATATTTCTTCCGGCGAGCCGCTCGCTACAATATATTAATATTGTAGCAAGCGGTCAAATGCTCAAGGTCGTTCGCATGGAGTAGCCCCTTAAGGTTACTCCTAATCTGGCCCATTTTCAATATATCGCCAATTTGGTCGATAAACCTTCGTCTAGGGCGTCCCTTTTCGACTCTGCCATTTACTTCTGCAACATAAATTTGCTTTGTCACTCTTTCCTCGTTCATTCTTACTACATGACCGAACCACCGAACCATTCCTTTCTTAATCCTGGTCACGTCATCTTGCAAACCACACTTTTCTCTTATCACACTATTTCTCACCCTGTCATTCAGATTCAGCCCTAGCAAAATCCTTAATGACCGAATTTCTACAGCATTTATTCTACTCTCATGCTTCTTCTGCCACACCCAACTTTCACTACCATACATTAAAGTAGGGACTAACACAGCATTATGAATATTCATACGTGCCTTCTTTGATACATTCTGGCTTTCCATAATAAAGATAAGAATTTAATTTTATTTGGTATTTGCATAAAAATAATAATTGTTGTAATTAAATATAACTGCATGGCTCATTTACTGTGCCCGATATTTGCCCGCGCGATCCACAGCTGCGACACGATTTTTGTTCTGAATTGCCGCTCTAGTAGCATAGTAAGTCTTTGGCTAGGAATTATGGTTGGCTTCGTTTTGATGTTTGTCGTTTGATTCCGTTGTATTGTGTAAATATATCATTATTCATTATAAACGGAGGTCTTGTATAAGAAAATTATTATATTTATATTATCATATATACTAATATACTATCGCTAGATCTGCCCCGGTTGCGCAGAGGTGATTTCTGGATCTCGACAATAGCTCCACTTTAGACACTAATTTTTACGGATTTTATCGCGTTTAATTTAACTTTTTAATTCCCGACGTTTCGGGTGCTTTACAGCACCCGTGGCCACGGGGGGGGGGGAGGAACTGAGGTGTTTGACGTCCTGATGTCCATAGTTAGCTCGGCTACCTTCAGTTTTTGAATATTAATTTTTGGTCCGATCTACGCAGAATGAGCTTACAGTATCTTGAAGTCTTGCAGTGGTGGCTTGGGTTTGGATTTAATTTTATTAATTATAGGATCCCAAGCAGATGGCAGCACCCATCCATCTTCTCTATTGAAATTAGGATGTTTTTTAATTTCAATAGCCTCGCGAATCATCCTTGGTAGGAATCGGTGTTTTCAATGTTCTAGATCGTCCCCGCCATTATATTAGATTTGATAAACCACAAATCCTCGCAAATTAACTAAATGTGATAGAATCCGTAAAAATTAGTTTCATTTAATGTGTAGTCTTCGCGTAAATATAAGAAAACATTAATAGCTCCACTTGTAAATCTAAACACACATCTCAACACACAAAAAAATTCATCAGTATCGGTCGAACCAGTTTCGAGTTTTAGCCAGACTAACTGACAAATTGATTATATATATATATATATATATATATATATATATATATATATATATATATATACATATTTCCACCTGAATAACATGATCGTACTACTGGGTTCAAAGCCTAAGCCAAAATGTGGGAAAAAGTGCGGATTTCACCGCGTTAATCTATTTGAAATTTCCGAAGTATCATATGCTCTGTAACCGCATAATAAGAGAAAGACAAGCGAGCATACAGTCCAATGATTGTAAGTGGATGCTATGGCTCATAGTCGTCGTTCATCATTAATGTATCATTGTCGTAATGATGATGATGTGTGTGTATGTGTTTCAATTGCCATACACAATTGTAAATTAACATATTTTTATGTTGTGAAGTAAAAAATATGACGGGGCTTAGTCACAGATTGTTGTATCATAAACCTTTATATATATAGCAAATGCCTTGATTCTGTTGCTTTCTTCCAGACCTTCAACGTGACTGTGACCACTCCGGTGAACATCACGCATCCCCCCACTTCTAAGGAGGTACAGCGAGCGAGTACCGTGCGCTTCAACTGTACGGCCACTGGCAAACCGGAGCCCGTCATAACCTGGTACAAAGATGGTCAGCCCTTAGTGCTGGCAGGGAGGGTGAGTGATTTTGAAGTTATAGTATTTATTCGAGTTGGAATCGAACGTTATTTTAACACATATTAGAACCATGCTGCAGCTATATTACGATTGTATCACGAATGGGTCAGCTCGACCGGGGTAGGACCACGCTCTCACAGAATATCAGCGTAAAAACCTAGCACAGAACACTGAAACGTAGTCTTACTGTAGCTGCGACGCGGCATTTCCCTACTCTTTGACATAATATTATATCACAAGTACTGTTATGTACTTTCTAAGAATATACTACAATAAACGATCCGAAATCCTCAATTGTAAGGTCGTATATAAATAAATAAAAACGTAAACATAAACACTCACGCCTGTCACCCAGAGGGGTATGCAGAGACTATGAACTTCCATTTGGCACGATTCTGACAAACTTTTAAATAAATTAATAAATATTTTTTATGAGATCTATATAATACTTATTATATAGATGTGATCTATATAATAAGTATTATATAGATCACATCTATGTAATACTTATTGAAAGTCAGTTTTTACTTTACCACTGGTTCGGAAAAAATTGTCCTGGGAAGAACCAGCAAGGAACCCAGCGGGACATTTCTTTTTAAAATAAATTTTACAATATGAAAAGTTGTACAAACTATTTACCAAAATTTATTTCAGAAACATCTTGGAAGGGACCACCTTATTCCCAGGGGTTTTTATCAACCACGTTTTCATTTATATTATAATAACCCCTTTTATACAGTTTTTGTTTAATTAAATATTTAAACTTGGTAATAGAGTGACCTTGTATATTTTCTGGGACTTTGTTGTAATAACGTATACATTGCCCCAAGAATGAATTACTGACTCTGTGGAGTCGAAAACTTGTATCACTAGCTTGTGTTTGTGCCTAGTGTTTACAGAGTGTATATCACTTTTTTCACTAAATATACTGGGAGGCCAAAGTTAATATATTTATTTTTCTTCTTTAAGAGACTTATAGTTTGTATGTTTTGATAAATATATGCGTACTTATTTATTTTACTTATTTATTTCACGACTGAGAAACTGGATCCATCAAAAGCTCAGTTTATTCAAAGGTAAATTGGCCTTGTAATGCAGGCGTGTAGTGGCGGCGTTAAATGATCTATTACTTGGAAGATACTACTTGTGGGTGTGAGAGAGACGAAGGAGGGAAACTTAAACAGGAGATAATTCAGGAGATGCTCAAATAATAAAATACTGTGGTTGCCAGCAACTGCGGCAAACAAATATGTATACAAATAAAAAAAAATACTTTCAATAAGTAATAGTTAATAATTTATATTGAATAAAAATTATTATATATTCTATTCTATTTCATTCGTAACCTATCTTTGGGGAACTATGAAGCTATCCAATGTGAACTTCTGACAGGGTGTAATTAATGAATGAATAAATGAATATCCACCACAGCTCTAGGCTGCGGGAAGAGTATGCCGTCAGGTGTTATGACCACCCCATTGTTACCTTATTAATTTAAAGATGTGAGAACAAACAACATTAAACATCAGCAATAACAGTGGTTCCCTAACTTATTTCTGATGCGCCCCCTTTCAAAAAAAAATATATCCGCGCCCCCTTGTTCAGATTATTTTAGATTACTATCAGGTTAGTAAAAAGTAGTTCTGTTCAATAACATCAAATTTTTAATGCTTAAAAGTTACATAATATCATACAAAAACTACTTAATTATATAATTATAAATAACTTTTTATTTAATCGAATGTAGATGTATGAGCTTGCATGGTTTTAACGAGGTTTCCGATTCACGGCTTAACCACAGAAATTGCACAACGCAAAGCACTATCGATGTTACGAGTAAGTTTCCTCTACTATTTTGCAATAAATTGTGAAATATTTGTCCCAAAACATTGTTTCACCAATTTTTTCGGTGTACATACACTGCACCTTCCTACGGACGTTTCTTGATCGTAAGGTCCCTAAGTGCCCAGCTAGCACGTGCCACCCTTTGCAGGTCTCTGCGCCCCCCCGAGTATCAACAAGGAGTCACACACGCACACGCATTCGCAAATGCGTTTGCGTGTGCGTGGGTGTATATTTATATTTTATGATATATGTATAGAATATCTTCTATATGTATATATATATATATATATATATATATATATTCTGGTTTATTCGAACTTCGTTACCATTTTTTCTCATTATTAGTTTACTTTTGCTGTTACTACCTCCCATATGTTTATCTCTGCTTAGCCTAATGGTTGACTGGGAGAGTATGCCTTAAGGCATTAAGTCCGCCATTTGTACGATTTTTCTTTTGTGCTTAAAAGTTTAAATAAACAAATAAATGCACACGCACGCTCACGCCCACGCGCACGCGCTTTCTGCTAGTGAAGCTGTACCTACATGTTCATTGAAATCGTTATACCAACACGATCATCAAGTGAACCAGGATTCCCACCATACTTACACAAAACAGTTGTTCGTGTTCGAAGAAAAGGACGATGACATAATATCTATATACTTTGAGTACTAATCTGTAACACAAACCAACAACCAGCGAATCAAAAAAGCGAATCTTTAAGATACTACTGTATTTTTTTAAATTACAATATATTGCTTTCTTTTATCACTCAAAGGCTTAGTGTAGCCGTTACCGTTACAGCCTATTAAAGTCAACTGCTGAACATAAGCCTACCCCATAGATTGCCTCATAGAGGAAAAATTGCCATAGTTGCCACGTCTGGCAAGCAGGTTGGAACCCGCATTTTTTTTTTTTATTTGTTATCACGAAGATGCTGCTCATCCTTTATTTCAGATTCCCTCTGTCGCTTTTTACGACACCCACGGGACGATATGAAGTAGTGAATATTCTTATAACTACTACCACTACACGGTTAAGAGTAGACATTCAGCGAAAATACGCTGCCAGCTTTCTTAGTTCTAGAGTAGGGCTCCATAATAATTTAAATTTATAGTTTTAGTTCTCTTATTATTATATTAAATATTTTTATGTCGTGTAAACAAAGTTAATAACTAAAATATACATTTTAATGCAGATAAATTTACGGACTTCCGCTGATGGTAGTCAAATCCAGCTGGTGATTAGCGGCGTGACGTCGGATGATGCTGGTAAATTTTATCTTTCTTTTTTATATATTTTTTATATATACGTTGAACATTAAACCATGGGTGCTGTAGTGCTCCAAACGTAGGGAATTTAAAATAAGTTAATTTACGCGATAATATCCGCAAAAACTAGTTTTTTTTTAATGTGAGATAATATGTTTGAGTCAAATAGCTTATTTGAACTTAAGTTGAGGTAACTACAAAAAAGAAAAAGATTTCTAAAGAAGGAATAGAAAAGGAAAAATTATGTGATATTTCTCTTACGGTTTGTTAATATTTAAAGAATATTATGCGTAAGAGAATTCATTACTCTATTTCTTCCTGTACATATCGTAAGAGTTAACTAGAATATACTTAATTGTAGAGGAGCATACATTTTTGTTTAGGTAAGTAAATAGACAAGAGGGTAGTCTTACTGCCTGGTGGGGAGTTATCCAGATAGCTTTATAGTAGAAAAGGAGTCCGTACCGTATGAGGTAAAATATCAAAATTTATATTTTCGTATGTGCGTTTAGTATAAAATAGTAATGAAGATTTAGTTTCGTTGTAAGTTTTGACAGATAGAGCTACGATTTAACAGAATACCAGCGTAAAATGGCAGCTTAATGCACTTTCTCATATGGTGAGTGTAAAGAACCGGAGACCCTTTTTAATGGAAACTAGGCATTCATCATCTAAGATCAATTAAGATCAATGTCACTGAACCGTTTTACACCAGTAGTTGAAAAAAAACTGCAAAAGTTGTTGGCAATACAAAATATTTGTTTACGGTGCGGAGGACGCGTACGTACAAATGTGCGAGGACTTCAGTAAAATGCGGTGCGTACGGTGCTGACAAATGTGCGTTCAGCTTAATTAGGCAATACTGCTCCTGTGCCAGAGTGGTGACAGAGAGCCTCGACCAGTTTGCGTTTTTTGTTATATGTATATGTCTTGTGTGGCAGGCGTGTACCAGTGCTTCGCACGTGGTAGCGGCGGCAGTGGCAGCGCGTGGGCGTGGCTCAACGTGACGGGCGCGTGGGCGGCCGCGCCGGGCGCGCTGCGCTGCGTGCCGGCCGGCGCGCGCCGCGTGGCGCTGCGCTGGCGCCCGCCCGCCGCGCGCGTCGTCGCCTACACTGTGGACGCCACGCGTGCAGGTACGCTACACTACACTGTGCACACCACGCGCGCATTTACGGTACACTACATTGGACGCCACGCGCGCAGCTACGTTACACTACACTGTGGACGGCACGCGCGCAGTTACGCTGCGCTACACTGTTGACGCCACGCGCCCAGGTACATTAGACTGTGATAGGGCGGGCTGACGTTAGGGGGGAGGAGGAGGAGGGGGAGGGGGCCGGCTGGTGGTTTCCTGTAGCTTTTTGCGATGGATGGTATTCCAATATAAATTAAGTCTGGTTCTAGTCTTTCAAATTCAATATAAGTTACGTTAAATATGTTTCTTGTTTTACTTACACTAATTATAAAAATATATGTTATAATAATAAATTTTTGTGTTACAGACAAACCAGGCATTGCATTGACAGGCCAGCCGCACACTAACACCGAAGAAGTTGTCACCGTGAAAGAGCCACTCACTCCATATATCTTTCAGGTATTTTTTTTCTTTTCAAATACTACCCCTACACTAGGAATAACTTGGGGGCGTTTTACATGTATAAATGGCTCATGGATTCCCGAAACAATTATTTGTAAGCCATACAAACATTTTTTTCCGTGCGGATTTGAACCCTTAGATAACCTCCAGACCGAATTTCGATCACGGCGGTCAGTCTCAACGGAGACTAGCCATCTGCGCAGGGCAGGATAATAGTTCAGGAGCGTAAACAATCTATTACCTCCATCCCATAGTCCAATGGGACTGTAATCCGACACGACCATCAGGCTTTCCGAGGCACGGGGGTGCAACACCGCCACCTTCCTGACTCCGAGCTGCTACTTGATTTTAGCCCGACCCGGCATTCGAACTTTATAATTAGCAATCGCTTGTACCAGACCGACGAGGCAGTCAAGCCTTTACCCCTGCCCCTTAGATACTGCGCTACTGATCCGTCAAACCGAGTCAACCGAGCAAGGCATAATCCTGCAAAATTATCACTACTCATCATCATAATAACAGCCGATCAAAAGCCCAGTGCTGAACATAGGCCTCCCTCTTTTCCTATTTGCCATAGTTCCAACGCTTGGCAGGTGGGTTGGCAACAGCAGTTTTTTTATTGTTATCATTGAAGTGTTGTAAAATTACATTTATATTTACAATCACAATTTATAATTACTAAAACTATGGTTAAAAACTATAAAATAACACAATATAAAATAACCAAGCCTTATGTCTTTGTATTTGCTTATAACTTTAAAATAATTTGATGAATGCCTAAAATTGCTGATTATTGGATATGGATGCGATTTTATTATAATTCAGAGATTACCTAGATCTTTCAGATTTCTTATACGAATATCTATTATTGTTAATGATGTTCCTTTTGCGTTGTAAGAGGCGACAGAGGAAAATAAATCAGGAGATGGGCCTTTTTCTAACAACAACTAAAAATTAAAAACTGCGGTTGCCAACCCGCTTTCCAAGCGTAGCAACTATGGAAAATATCCCCCCTATGAGGCAATCCATGGTGGAGGCCTATGTTCAGCAGTGGACTGTAATAGGCTGTAACGGTAACGAATGTTCTTTTTGCAGGTCCGAGCTTACATTCCGACATCGAGCAAGAAGAATGTGGCGAGCGACATGTCGGAGAGCGTCGTCTGCCAGGGGCAAGGAGGTTCGTAAATCTATTAAAAAAGTGTATGTCGCAAAGTTGCAATTTTAGCGAATTTTGCGGATAATGTTTGAAAAGATTGCAGGTGAGATATACATACACAAAAGGGCTTCTTTAAAAAAAGATTATTAAGACTGAAGGTTGTTTTTGTTTCATCCGGTTTAGCTAAGCTTTATAAATCAATTTTCATATATGTTTGCGACGTTCTTTACTCTACATGATTCTTGACATTCTCTGTTTACAAATCCCGAAAACAAAATTGGGGTTTTAAAATTATTTTAAATCGTTTTTAAAACTGTTTTGAATAATATAGATGATCACTTTGATTAATCAGTGCTTATGAAGTTTGCGTAATTGGATTTTTGTTGTTGCCTTGGAATACCACAAGGTTGCCATTTAGGACCAATTCTATTAAAATTATTTTAAATCATTTAAACTCAGACTCTAAATAAATATTTATTTTTCATATATAACAATAAATATTTAATAAGTTATATGCAAACTATTATTACACTTTCATTGAATATTTGTATATAAAAAGAGTCGTTCTGCGTTCGTCGAAAGTCAAAGCATTTTTGAATTGAATATCTATTATTATTGTGACTAATTCTAATTTATTGAATATCAAAGTGTTTTCAAAACGGTTAAAGATATACCCACATCTAAAATAACTATGGCACTTTTATGTTCCTATTCAAAAACCGGCACCGATCAGTTAAAGTTTGTAGGTACGTTCTATGCAAATTGAATACCACAATATTCCTGCCTCCGTGGCAGTTTACGTATTTTTACTTTGCTTTACATAGGACATATGTACACGCAGTAAATTCGTTAACTAATGAAAATAAATGTTGTTCTACAGTACCTGTAAAAGTCTCAAAGGTGGGAGAAGCAGTGTTAGTATCATGGCGTCAGTTCGCGGAAGAGAACCCTGGAGTTGTGGAATGGATTCTGCAGTATAAGGCCGACAATAGCACGCAAGAGCACAACATCACGTTACCCGGAGAAGTCACTAACTACACTTTGCCAAGTTAGAATTTTTTAAGTTAAAAATAATAATGTAATATGTATTGTCGATGGATGCAGGTTGGTTCAGGACCGTGGTACGATGACAATACAATAATATGAAATTCACTGTGTTTGAGATGCGCTATTTCTGGAAAATTGATATGATTAATAATTATGTAGCATAAGGAGCCGTTAAAGCCTAGGGGCTAAGCGCTTGAGGTATATGTCATAGTATGCGAGCACCCCGGGTTCGGGCCCGCAGGCACAATGGCTCATGAAATTCACCAATACGCATCGGGTCGTTGCGGTGGACACTTTTATGTCTTAAAACTCTAGATATTTGACGAAATTTGTGCCCAGCAGTGGGATGTGGATAGGTTATAACTTTATGTAGCTTAGTATCTATATGTGTTATTTATCTTAGCTATATGTTGAATGTTTGGGGAAATTATAAGTTATACACGCCATTTTTATCATATTATGTACCTGTACATTGTACACCTACGAAGGATTGAACGATTGACCGTGTGTGACATATTATATTCTCGTAAAATTGGAATTAAAAACGAACTTACAATTCACCTGATGGTGTGTGGCTACTGTAGCTAACACAAGAAACAAGAGAGTATCAAATGCGTTTTCATTTCCGAGAACTAAGATTGAATACGTCATAGTTTGTAATATACTGGTTCTCTATACAATTCAGATGGGAACACAGTGGTACAGGCGCTGTTGATTGGAGATAAAAATGGGAAAAAGGGTGGTAACTATCCAGTTTGACTATAGGTACGATAGGAGTGTCAGTATCTAGTAGATTTGTATGTTTTTTTTTATTGATAAGATGAAACTTAGTACACAGTCTACCAGATGGTAATTGGGTGCTGTGGCTTATAGATATTTATACCTCTCATTGGTTATGAATCAAGATGTGTTGTTAGGTACTCCTGAGGACTAAGATGGAACACCTCGTTACCAGTATATAGGGTTTTCGGTTCTTTACACTCCATATGAAATACAGCAGCATTTTTCTGCTAATTCACGCTGTTATTCCGTGAGAGCGTGGTCCTACTCCGGTCGAGGAGACCCCTTAGTGCTGCAGCTATGTATAGCTGAAACGTAGTTTTTCCTTTACTAGAAGTGATTGGGAAGAAATTTGAGGGTGGGGGTGTCGTGTGCAGCAGGTGGGGCCGGTGGAGAGGCGGCGTGGGTGCGCGTGCTGGGGAGCCGCGCGGCGCGCTGGCTGCCGCAGGACCTCGCGCTGCTGCCCTGGACCGCCGCCGCGCCGCGCCATAGCCATCGGTACGCACTCCACCCACATCCACACCCGCACCCACACAGACGTCACATACTCACCCATACCGACCCACATCCACACCCACATCCACACCCGCACCCACACAGACGTCCACATACTCACCCATACCGACTCACATCCACACCCACATCCACACCCGCACCCACACAGACGTCACATACCCATACCGACCCACATCCACACCCACATCCACACCCGCACCCACACAGACGTCCACATACTCACCCATACCGACTCACATCCACACCCACATCCACACCCGCACCCACACAGACGTCACATACTCACCCATACCGACTCACATCCACACCCACATCCACACCCGCACCCACACAGACGTCACATACTCACCCATACCGACCCACATCCACACCCACATCCACACCCGCACCCACACAGACGTCCACATACTCACCCATACCGACTCACATCCACACCCACATCCACACCCGCACCCACACAGACGTCCACATACTCACCCATACCGACTCACATCCACACCCGTACTCACACAGATGTCCACATACTCACCCATACCAACCCACATCCACACCCACATCCACACCCGCACCCACACAGACGTCCACATACTCACCCATACCGACTCACATCCACACCCGTACTCACACAGACGTCCATATACTCACCCATACCGACCCACATCCACACCCACATCCACACCCACATCCACACCCGCACCCACACAGACGTCCACATATTCACCCATACCGACCCACATCCACACCCGTACTCACACAGACGTCCACATACTCACCCATACCGACCCACATCCACACCCACATCCACACCCGCACCCACACAGACGTCCACATATTCACCCATACCGACCCACATCCACACCCACATCCACACCCGCATCCACACCCACATCCACACCCGCATCCACACCCACATCCACACCCACATCCACACCCAAAATTAAACTCACGCCCACATACAAACTCACACCCATATCCAAACCCACAACCCAATCCACAGCTATAAGTTCAATATTTTTATTGTAGATTATACAAGCATTGCGTCTACAGCCTTTAGTATTGACTAAGATCTTACCGGCAGTCGACAATCCCAGAACTTGACCGTTGGCCACCCAAGGCTCTTGTATGAGGGCGAGGTCAATGTTGTGCTCTGCGAAGCAAACCTCCACCACGGCAGAACCAGCTGCTGCACGGTGAAGATTTGCCTGGGGGACCCTCGTCTTACCCTTAGGGTCAGCCATTTATAGGCGTAGGGGGGGGGGGGCAGAAGAACTCCTTCGACTTTCTCTGAGAATCAACACGACCTGCGCTCTCCCCCAGAGCCATTCGCCTAACTGCTTGCCGGACAGGAGAGCAGAATAGGTGTTAATTTAGTCCTACTGATAGTATAAAAATGTGAGAAGTAGGAGTAGACTAACCCCCGCCAAACAATACCTATAGTTGGTCTGCTAGGTAGAATGATTCCGACCACCGAAATCCTCAGTATGTACGAAATGGTATAAGGCCATCTATTGGAGACCGTTAGTTATTACCGATCTTTTCCAGTCATCTCCTACACCCACAGTATGACAGAGTGATGGTCTGTCATACTGTGGTAATGAAGAGTCTTCTATGCTGCCACCACATGGTGAAAATGATAACAAATAGTTCATTCTTATTCTCTGAGACCAGTAACACCTTTTAAATTTGTTTATAAACTCTTTAACTATACAACCGTTGTTATTATATAAGAGTTATTTTATTGCAGCGACGTCACGGCAGTACCGCAGGACGTCAAAGTGTCGGATGTCGGGGTTCACGGCTTCACTGTGAAGTGGCGATGCGATGAGGCCGACTCCTCACCCGAAATGTACAGTTTCAGGGTGTGCTTAAAGAAAGTGGAGGGGACGGAAGAGTGTCAAGAAAGGTGAGTGATGTAACTTATAATGTAAGTAAATAGTTTGGCAAAGCCAAGAGTGCACGCCTCATGAGTGTTTCATTAAATTTTGATGAAAAAAAAAATTTCATAGGGAAGGGATGGATATTCACAAAAAAGGCCTGTGCTGCAATTTTGATTGCAATTTTGTGTAAAAAACCTATAAAAAAGAAGGCGCTGGGTAAAAGATTGACTTTTCAAAGGGGATTTCTATATCCATATTAACTTATTGACATATGGGTTTCAAAAGAGGATAAAGACTATGCAAATTATTTTCGCATGGCTTGTTTTGAAAAGTTACTGGTCTTGGTAACACCATACCTAGAAAAACAAGATACATGTTTTTTTTTATAGGATAAGGGTGACAAACGAGCACACAGTCCACCTGATGGTAAGTGGTTGCTGCGGCCCATAGACATCTACAACTATCCTCTTTTGCGAATCTAAATGCAGATACGTTTTTACCCGTGAGGACTAAGATGGAATGCCTCATTTCCAGTAAAAAGGTCCTCCGGCCACCTGCACTCACCAAGCGAAACGCAGAGGTAAACCTTTACTTCACGCTGGTATTCTGTGATGTATGCGAAAAGCTATAGCTCCCGAAGAAAACCTAGGAGCAACGTAAAAATCACAATATCCAGATATGTAGGTCCTATTTGTCAATCAATTTCATGCAACCGTCAAACACAACCGTAATAGTTGTAAAACTGACAGCAAAACCTACTGTGTAATGGGCACCTATGGTAGATTTGTCCTTTGTCCATCAAGAGCTAAAAAATATGAAAGCGCCTTTAAATTGAAAATTTTAATAAGTTGAAAATAATTTTATTAACAAACTACGCGTACTAGGCTATTGATATGAAATAAAGAACCAGTTGATGTAATTCTGAAGATAATAAAAAAAAACCCGGTCTCGATACGTCAATTTTTTCGGGAGTTATCGTGACCACGTACAAAATCAACATCCGGACGCCCACGTAAAATTTTTTTCAAACCGCTTTTCTTCTTTAATGTAGCAATATAAAATGATTTTTTAGAAAATATAATATAAATTAATTAGTGTTTCTTGGTTTACGGCTACTCATATTATCGTATACGTGCAATATGGTTAAAATAGAGGCATTTTAAGAATATAAAATTGTTTGACCTTGACGTGTCGAGAGTAAAGCACTAGCAAATAATGCTTCGTGAATATTTGTCTAGAGTCCGGCTATTTAACCTATATTATTACTATTTCGTTTGCTTTTTTCGTCGGTTTGTGCAATTATAACCCGTCATCGTTATTTCAGCCCATCACAATTGAAAAGCTGAAGATAGGCATTCCCAAGGAATACGACAAATAGGTTCCGAGCTACCTATATCTATCGACTTTCTGCATCTCTTACCGGGTCGTGACTCCGTCTAGTCGGGAGCCGCCCCTTTTTTACATGGGAAAATAAATACACATACTCACCTTGCGACAGGACAGGTTATGTCGGACCCGCACTGATTAAAACCTCATGGTGGACCATTTTTTCATATGAGAGGCCCGTGCACACACCCAAGTATACACGCACCTACACTCATACAGACTGCTCCTACCCATCGAGCAATGACCACCGATCGCCACCTTCGACATCTCAGTGTGTGTGAGTGAACACGTGCACGAACAACCACGTGCACTAGCTCATACATATGCGCGTACCCACGTACGTACAAGAAAGTACATGCACGTACAAACGTATTGACTGTAGTAGGTAGGACGGGTAAGACACCAGCGTTAATAGGCTTGTAACCGGAACATGCACCGTCTACTACGACCTGGATGCTCCGATCGGCCAGAAAACTTGTGATCCAATTGCAGAATTTCTCGGGAAGCCCATAGGAAGTAAGCTTCGAAAGAAGCGCTTTGTGCTAAACCCGATCGAAGGCCTTCCCTATGTCCAAACTATCCGCCAAAGCCTCGCCCTTGGACTCGATTGCCTGCGCCTATCTTGTGTTAGGTAAACAAGACGGTCACTAATCAGCTGCTCAAGGACCGCATGAGCTTGCAGTTAATAAAGGACTCCATTATTTTGGAGAACAAGGAGATGATGGCGATAGGCCTGTAGTTGGACGGATCAGGACGGTTACCTTTTACAGGGATCGGGTGCAAGAAAGCTGTCTTCTATGAATTCGGAACAAAGCCTAGGGAGTGGGGGTACCGGAAAAGACGCGTTAGAACCAGTGCCAACTATGGAGCACATGTCCTCATCACCATTGGCGGGATTCCATTTGGCCCGCTCGACTTGTCGCTGTCCATGGAGAGGAGTGCTTTGCATACTGAGCACTGTGTGAATCGCAGATCAGGCATAGAGCACTCACACCGCGGGATGGTCGGCAGTCTGTTCTTCCCGTCATCGAGAGTCGAATTAAACGCAAAAAGGGAGCCTAAAAGGTCGGCTTTCTCTTTTGCGGCGTGAGTCGTCCTACCTGTGCAGAGATGGTAATGATGGCTTACAGAAATTCCTTTGGACAGCCTTGATGAGAACAGAATGTCCCGTGCATTCTGTTCTTCCCGAAGGAAGGCGAACTAATTTCTCGCCAATTCTGCCGATGTGCTTATACTTTGCCTTGGCAATAACTCTTTTGAAGGATCTGGTGGCGAAGTTATAATTCTTTTTAAGCACGCTGGTGTTTACATCCCGAGCCATCAAAGCGTCAATCCAGCTCAATAATTAACAATGATTAATGATTGTTAGTCTCGAATAATTTTTGTTTTGATTAATCCAAAATGTGCAGTTTCAGTTGCAAGTTGGAATTCGCTTATTTCATTTCTTTACAGAAATTCCATCCTCTTAATAAAAAAAACTTAAAGCACGGATTAATACTCGTAGTTTGTAGCAAAATATGGGAAGTTCAATGTTTTATAGTGGACTTGTGATGATAGGCTGTGGTTATAGTATAGTGAGAATATTATACTTAGGAAATACTATAGTCAGTCGCTGTCTTAATTAATGTGGAAATTGCGTGAACAGACTATAGAATAGATTTTATTGAATGTTACTTTCGTATAAAATATTTCCATTTTCGATTACCCTCAATTTATGCGTATAGAAGTTTTATTAAAAAGTCTTATATTTATTTTATTTAAATTATAATAACTGAACTACTTTTTCAAAGTAACCTATTGTGTTTTCTTCCCGCAGTTACAAGAGCAGCGCCACATTGGAGGGCTTGGAGCCGGGAAGCGAATATGAAGTGCGGGTACAAGCGCTTGTGCAAGGGCGATTTCTTGGTGGGGCTTTTAGCGACCCAATCCGCGTCACTACGCAACCTGAAGGTAATTTGAAGTAAGGTGCCCAGCAAAGTGGAATTCATAGAAATTTCCTAATTTTAGAAATACTCTATATTTCTTTTTATCCAGCTTTTGAAGTGATAATTTGAATTAAACAGGACAGTGGCGTGTTGGCGATTTGTCGTACACGTTCGTCAACTCGTCGGCGGTTCGAGTGCGCTGGAACGGGCAGGCGGCGCGGTACACCGTGCGGCACAGCGCGCGCCTCCGCCTGCCCGTCGAGCAGTGGCCCGCGCTCGCCACCACCGACACCTCTGTGTTGGTGAGTGTACACACGCACACACCCGAGTATACACGCACGTACACACGTACACACTGCCCCTGCCCGTCGAGCAGTGGCCCGCGCTCGCCACCACCGACACCTCTGTGTTGGTGAGTGTACACACGCACACACCCGAGTATACACGCACGTACACACGTACACACTGCCCCTGCCCGTCGAGCAGTGGCCCGCGCTCGCCACCACCGACACCTCTGTGTTGGTGAGTGTACACACGCACTCACCCGAGTATACACGCACGTACACACGTACACACTGCCCCTGCCCGTCGAGCAGTGGCCCGCGCTCGCCACCACCGACACCTCTGTGTTGGTGAGTGTACACACGCACACACCCGAGTATACACGCACGTACACACGTACACACTGCCCCAGCCCGTCGAGCAGTGGCCCGCGCTCGCCACCACCGACACCTCTGTGTTGGTGAGTGTACACACGCACACACCCGAGTATACACGCACGTACACACGTACACACTGCCCCTGCCCGTCGAGCAGTGGCCCGCGCTCGCCACCACCGACACCTCTGTGTTGGTGAGTGTACACACGCACACACCCGAGTATACACGCACGTACACACGTACACACTGCCCCTGCCCGTCGAGCAGTGGCCCGCGCTCGCCACCACCGACACCTCTGTGTTGATGAGTGTACACACGCACACACCCGAGTATACACGCACGTACACACGTACACACTGCCCCTGCCCGTCGAGCAGTGGCCCGCGCTCGCCACCACCGACACCTCTGTGTTGGTGAGTGTACACACGCACACACCCGAGTATACACGCACGTACACACGTACACACTGCCCCTGCCCGTCGAGCAGTGGCCCGCGCTCGCCACCACCGACACCTCTGTGTTGGTGAGTGTACACACGCACACACCCGAGTATACACGCACGTACACACGTACACACTGCCCCTGCCCGTCGAGCAGTGGCCCGCGCTCGCCACCACCGACACCTCTGTGTTGGTGAGTGTACACACGCACACACCCGAGTATACACGCACGTACACACGTACACACTGCCCCTGCCCGTCGAGCAGTGGCCCGCGCTCGCCACCACCGACACCTCTGTGTTGGTGAGTGTACACACGCACACACCCGAGTATACACGCACGTACACACGTACACACTGCCCCTGCCCGTCGAGCAGTGGCCCGCGCTCGCCACCACCGACACCTCTGTGTTGATGAGTGTACACACGCACACACCCGAGTATACACGCACGTACACACGTACACACTGCCCCTGCCCGTCGAGCAGTGGCCCGCGCTCGCCACCACCGACACCTCTGTGTTGGTGAGTGTACACACGCACACACCCGAGTATACACGCACGTACACACGTACACACTGCCCCTGCCCGTCGAGCAGTGGCCCGCGCTCGCCACAACCGACACCTCTGTGTTGATGAGTGTACACACGCACACACCCGAGTATACACGCACGTACACACGTACACACTGCCCCTGCCCGTCGAGCAGTGGCCCGCGCTCGCCACCACCGACACCTCTGTGTTGGTGAGTGTACACACGCACACACCCGAGTATACACGCACGTACACACGTACACACTGCCCCTGCCCGTCGAGCAGTGGCCCGCGCTCGCCACCACCGACACCTCTGTGTTGGTGAGTGTACACACGCACACACCCGAGTATACACGCACGTACACACGTACACACTGCCCCTGCCCGTCGAGCAGTGGCCCGCGCTCGCCACCACCGACACCTCTGTGTTGATGAGTGTACACACGCACACACCCGAGTATACACGCACGTACACACGTACACACTGCCCCTGCCCGTCGAGCAGTGGCCCGCGCTCGCCACCACCGACACCTCTGTGTTGGTGAGTGTACACACGCACACACCCGAGTATACACGCACGTACACACGTACACACTGCCCCTGCCCGTCGAGCAGTGGCCCGCGCTCGCCACCACCGACACCTCTGTGTTGGTGAGTGTACACACGCACACACCCGAGTATACACGCACGTACACACGTACACACTGCCCCTGCCCGTCGAGCAGTGGCCCGCGCTCGCCACCACCGACACCTCTGTGTTGGTGAGTGTACACACGCACACACCCGAGTATACACGCACGTACACACGTACACACTGCCCCTGCCCGTCGAGCAGTGGCCCGCGCTCGCCACCACCGACACCTCTGTGTTGATGAGTGTACACACGCACACACCCGAGTATACACGCACGTACACACGTACACACTGCCCCTGCCCGTCGAGCAGTGGCCCGCGCTCGCCACCACCGACACCTCTGTGTTGGTGAGTGTACACACGCACACACCCGAGTATACACGCACGTACACACGTACACACTGCCCCTGCCCGTCGAGCAGTGGCCCGCGCTCGCCACAACCGACACCTCTGTGTTGATGAGTGTACACACGCACACACCCGAGTATACACGCACGTACACACGTACACACTGCCCCTGCCCGTCGAGCAGTGGCCCGCGCTCGCCACCACCGACACCTCTGTGTTGGTGAGTGTACACACGCACACACCCGAGTATACACGCACGTACACACGTACACACTGCCCCTGCCCGTCGAGCAGTGGCCCGCGCTCGCCACCACCGACACCTCTGTGTTGATGAGTGTACACACGCACACACCCGAGTATACACGCACGTACACACGTACACACTGCCCCTGCCCGTCGAGCAGTGGCCCGCGCTCGCCACCACCGACACCTCTGTGTTGGTGAGTGTACACACGCACACACCCGAGTATACACGCACGTACACACGTACACACTGCCCCTGCCCGTCGAGCAGTGGCCCGCGCTCGCCACCACCGACACCTCTGTGTTGGTGAGTGTACACACGCACACACCCGAGTATACACGCACGTACACACGTACACACTGCCCCTGCCCGTCGAGCAGTGGCCCGCGCTCGCCACCACCGACACCTCTGTGTTGGTGAGTGTACACACACACACACCCGAGTATACACGCACGTACACACGTACACACTGCCCCTGCCCGTCGAGCAGTGGCCCGCGCTCGCCACCACCGACACCTCTGTGTTGGTGAGTGTACACACGCACACACCCGAGTATACACGCACGTACACACGTACACACTGCCCCTGCCCGTCGAGCAGTGGCCCGCGCTCGCCACCACCGACACCTCTGTGTTGGTGAGTGTACACACGCACACACCCGAGTATACACGCACGTACACACGTACACACTGCCCCTGCCCGTCGAGCAGTGGCCCGCGCTCGCCACCACCGACACCTCTGTGTTGGTGAGTGTACACACGCACACACCCGAGTATACACGCACGTACACACGTACACACTGCCCCTGCCCGTCGAGCAGTGGCCCGCGCTCGCCACCACCGACACCTCTGTGTTGGTGAGTGTACACACGCACACACCCGAGTATACACGCACGTACACACGTACACACTGCCCCTGCCCGTCGAGCAGTGGCCCGCGCTCGCCACCACCGACACCTCTGTGTTGGTGAGTGTACACACGCACACACCCGAGTATACACGCACGTACACACGTACACACTGCCCCTGCCCGTCGAGCAGTGGCCCGCGCTCGCCACCACCGACACCTCTGTGTTGGTGAGTGTACACACGCACACACCCGAGTATACACGCACGTACACACGTACACACTGCCCCTGCCCGTCGAGCAGTGGCCCGCGCTCGCCACCACCGACACCTCTGTGTTGGTGAGTGTACACACGCACACACCCGAGTATACACGCACGTACACACGTACACACTGCCCCTGCCCGTCGAGCAGTGGCCCGCGCTCGCCACCACCGACACCTCTGTGTTGGTGAGTGTACACACGCACACACCCGAGTATACACGCACGTACACACGTACACACTGCCCCTGCCCGTCGAGCAGTGGCCCGCGCTCGCCACCACCGACACCTCTGTGTTGGTGAGTGTACACACGCACACACCCGAGTATACACGCACGTACACACGTACACACTGCCCCTGCCCGTCGAGCAGTGGTCCGCGCTCGCCACCACCGACACCTCTGTGTTGGTGAGTTTACACATGCACACACCCAAGTATACACGCACGTACACACGTACACACTGCCCCTGCCCGTCGAGCAGTGGTCCGCGCTCGCCACCACCGACACCTCTGTGTTGGTGAGTTTACACATGCACACACCCAAGTATACACGCACCTACACTCATACAGACTGCTCCTACTCATCGAGCAGTGACCACCGATCGCCACCTTTGACATCTCTGTGTGTGAGTGAACACGTGCACGAACAACCACGTCCACTAGCTCGTACATATATGCGTACCCACGTACGTACAAGAAAGTACATGCACGTACAAACGTATTGACTGTAGTAGGTAGGACGTCAAGCAGTTGTCCCCGATTTCTACCGACACCTCCGCGCTGGTTGGTGTACAAATGTACGTACACGCACGACCACACATATTTACCCACGCGACACACTTATGCACGCGCATTTACACATGCATACATAATCTTGGATTACTCATAAGTTTTATTATATTTATAATGTCTTTTTGTGATTTTAGATAACTGGAATTGAGCCAACTGAGCAAACTTACGTAATGGTGACCGGTTACGAACCCCTTGGACACAGTCGAATCCTGACAATTCCGGCGCAAGTTAAAGATTTAGGTAAGTTGTTAAGTTTGGAAAAAATATCACGTAAATATTTTCGGCCTTATACTACTCTGGCTCGCTTTACTAGTTTTAATATCTTGACACCTTTTGCCTTTTCTATTTAGCATTTAGAGGCATCTAACCCTAGCGTGGAATTTAGAGAATATGTAAAATAATTTTTATAAGAGCCACAGCCAAGTTTTTGCATTTGAGAAACAATATCAAGAAGGGTTCTAATTAAATTAAAATAACATGTCTCGTCTCACAATTCATTCTACCAATTAAATTATAACAATAAATTACCTTAATCAAATCAGGACGTTGCAATGGTTTTTGAGAAATATTTTACTTATTCCAATCCTAACCACAAAGTCATTCAATGCTTCTTCTGCCGTCATCGAATCATTACTCAAACAAAATGTAAAATATGTTTTTAAAGAATTTTACATTTTATAAAGTATAATCAAAAGATATTCTAATTTTTTTTCAAACTATTGATATATCAAGTAGAGAAAACCGCAGATCTGAGGGAGATTTCCGTCAAAGTTACTTTTAATAGATACCAACTTCTACTACCCATTAATGAACTAACTAGCTATTATTTTAATAGTAGTATCAAATGTGGTGTTTCCTGAAACATTTACCTTTATTTAAATCTGGTTGTAAATTTGACCTCCCAATTTTTTATCTATTTCTTTACTGCCAATACTAAGTAAAATTATTAGAAAACTAATTCTTGAACAAAAGTAAAAATTTTTCAAGTTAATTTTTTAACTTTATAATAAATAATCAATTTGGTTTCACAAGGGGTTGTTGGTGTTGAGCTGATCAAACATATTTTCTATGCATGGGCGAATTCACAGGATGCTTTGGGTATATTCTGTGACCTATCTGAAGCTTTCGATTGTGTTCATCATGACACATTAATCAGGAAACTACAACACTAAGAAGTGTTGCTCTTAAATTTATTATTTCAAATTTAAACAACAGACGCAAGAAGTTATTATCAACGGTATTAGTTCTTTCAGGTCGATAGTACAAATGGGCGTGCCTCAGGGCTCATTTCTCGGCTCCTTTCTGTTACTTGTCTATATTAATGACTTACCTAACATAGTGGGGGATAAACATGATATAGTATTATTTACTGACTGAATTTTTAAACTAAAATGAAAATAACTAAAATGTGATGAAGTACATAAATAATGCTATATCTAAATTAGTAAATTGGTTAAACTAAAATAAAATGTATTCATCTATAACTCCAAATGTCAATCATTAAAATACTATGAATTATATATAATAATCTATGACACTTAATGACGTGGTCACGAATGGGTCGGTTACCGGCGTAAAATAGTATGTATGTATGGTATTTTTATCCAGGGTTTCGTGCGATGAGTGTAGAAAACCAGAGGCCCAGAACTAATTGAACTAAAGAAAATAAAAGTTCGATTAACCATATGATTTTTCTAATCCTTGTCACATAAAGTTAGATAGCCGATGCCAGGATAAACTCTGGTTTCATAGTATTCCGAGATTTTGTGCTGGATACTTTGTTTAAATGAGGGCATGAGCAGAGAGTTATTAAAGTCAACACAAGAATGAATTTTAATATTAAAATTAGGTTGAGTCCTATTGTAATTAGTAAAACCAACAACATAGATGTATTGATAGTTAATAAATATATTCTTAGCCACTCTGCGACCTTGGCTAATCCTACTCCAGCGCTGTGTCCAACATATTCCCAGCTTCAACCACAGACATACGTGAACATGCGCCCGTATTACAAAGGCTGTTTACATAAATCAAAAATAGAATGGGGCCTAACTCCCTTGTGAGACATTGTAGGTAATGGTAGAGTCATGGTGCTCTCTTATTTTGGCCCGTTGTCTAAGATTTGTTAAGTGAAACCTTAAAATAAAACTAGGAGTTTACGAAACATTATCACCTTGCCTAATAATGAGTAACGTCAGCACTGAAATAGCGTCTACTGTGCAAAGTAAGGTGCCGTGTAGTGGCGGTCAAGAATATACACTACCCCGTATCCTTCCGTGGGTGTCGTAAAAGGCGACAAAGGGAAACAGGCAGGAGATAGGCAGCAGCATCTTCCTGATAATAGCCAAAATTACAATAAAAAAACTGCGGTTGCCAACCCGTTCGCCAAGCGTGGCAACTATGGCAAATACCCCCCAATGATTAAAGCAACAAACAGACGGCCCCCAGTCCCCGGCGGCCCCGCTATTCCTGGCTACGGTGGCGACCATGGTAACGGCGGGGCAGGGGGTGCTAAGAATCTCCGGTGGAGGTTCGGTTGCCACCTTAGACGACTCGACCTACGACAACGCACGCACCCTGAGGACTGACGAGAAGATCGTGGAGCTGGAAAAAGAGACAGACAAGTTGCGCTGGCATATTATAGGATTATCCGAAGTCCGAAGAGAGGGGGAGGACACGGTAATCCTCGAATCCGGCAACTTGCTCTATCACCGGGAGGGCGACCATCTGTCCCAAGGAGGTGTCGGATTTATCGTCCACAAGTCTCTCGTTAACAACGTTGTAAAGATCGGGATCAATGTGTCGACGAGGGTTGCGTACCTTATACTCAGAATCACCAAAAGGTATTCGCTGAAGGTCATACAGGTTTACGCACTAAACTCGGCACACCCCAATGAGGAGGTGGAGGAAATGTATGAGGATATCTCTAGAGCCATGCATTCCTCCAAAACCCAATATACGGTGTTAATGGGAGACTTCAATGCAAAACTAGGCACAAGAAAGAACGGTGAGCTGAAAGTAGGGAAATTTGGAATAGGGCAACGGAACCCAAGGGGCCAGCAGCTGGCCGACTTCATGGAGAAAGAGGGACTCTTTATGATGAACTCTTTATGAACTCTTGATTAACACAGGAAGTGGACCTGGTCGAGTCCCGACGATTCGACAAAAAATGAGATTGACTTCATTATGACGACCAGACGACAACTGTTCAGTGATGTCTTCGTGATCGCGAGGGTGAAAACTGGTAGCGATCACCGAATGGTTAGAGGCACACTGAACCTAAACGTCAAGTTGGAGAGGTCTCGTCTAATGAAGTCAACGCTCCGTCCCCCTCGTGCTCTGTTCCAAAGTCCCGAAACCTTTCAGCTCGAGTTACAAAACCGTTTTCAGTGCTTAGAAGACTGCAATGAAGTGGACGATATGAATGACAAGTTCGTGGAAACTGTCCATGCGGTCGGAGCTAAGTTCTCCAAGACCCGCCGCAGAAGAACACAAAAACTCTCCGATCACACTCTTAATCTCATGGCTGTCAGACGGGAGATGAAGTTACATTCTTCAACAGACTTGACAGCATACAGGCATCTGAACAGACAGATCTCCAAATGCATGCGGCGGGACTTACGCAACTTCAATACAGCTCGTATTGAAGAAGCGATCGAGCGGAACCAAGGCTCCAAAGTCTATGCCAGAGATCTGTCTGCCAGAAAGAGCCAACTGTCAAAGCTGAAGACAGAATGTGGCAGCATCGTTTCCGGGACACCTGAGATTTTGAGTGAGATTGAGAGGTTCTATGGGCAGCTGTACACATCATCGTTGGAGCCACACGCAAGTGTGAGTAACGATCCAAGAGCGAGTCTCATCCGACACTATTCCGAAGATATCCCGGGCGTCAGTCTGAGCGAGATTAGAATGGCTCTCCAGCACCTTAAAAACGGCAAGGCCCCAGGCGAGGATGGAATTACAGCGGAGCTTCTGAAAGCGGGTGGAAGACCGGTACTTGAAGTCTTACAGAAGCTCTTTAATTCCGTCCTTCATGGTGGCATTACACTGGAGGCGTGGAGCAGAAGTGCGGTGGTCTTGTTCTTCAAGAAAGGTGACAACGCTCTCTTGAAGAACTACAGTCCGATTTCCCTTCTGAGCCGCGTCTACGTGCTGTTTTCGAGAGTCATTACGAATCGTCTCGCGCGCAGACTTGACGACTTCCAGCCTCCCGAACAAGCCGGTTTCCGAAAGGGCTTTAGCACCATAGACCACATACGTTTTACATTACGATTTGCCGACGATATAGTCCTTATGGCAGAATCGCTGGAGGACCTAAGCACTATGCTCAATGACCTCAATAGTGTCTCCCAATGGATAGGTCTTAAGATGAACATGGACAAAACAAAGATTATGTTTAATGTCCATGTCACACCTATGTCGGTAGTTGTTGGGAACACTAAGCTCGAAGTTGTTGACGAGTATGTTTACCTGGGACAAATAGTCCGACTAGGTAAGTTCAACTTCGACCGAGAGGTTAATCGACGGATTCAACTCAGCTGGGCAGCGTTCGGGAAGCTACGACACATTTTCTCGTCAGACATACCTCAAAACCTGATGTATAAGGAAGCTCAAGGTCCCTCAGCGAGCTATGGAGAGGGCTATGCTCGGAGTTTCTCTGCGTGATAAACTTAGAAATGAGGATATCCGCAGTAGAACTAGAGTAACCGACATAGCCCAACGGATTAGTAAGCTGAAGTGGCAGTGGGCCGGCCATATAGCTCGAAGAGCCGACAATTGATGGGGAAGAAAGGTTCTCGAGTGGCAGCCTCGTACCGGTAGGCGAAGTGTAGGGCGACCCCCCACGAGATGGAGTGAAGACCTGGTAAGGCATGCAGGAAGTCGATGGATGCAGGTGGCTCAGGACCGTGCTTTGTGGCATTCCTTGGGGGAGGCCTATATTCAGCAGTGGACTTATGAAAGGCTGTAATGATGATGATGATGATGTGCAAAGTCCTCATCTGAAACCCTATTGCCATGCTGCATATACATAAATAGTATAGTTGTAGCACGAATGGGTCGGTTCGATCGGGGAATGACCACGCTCTCACAAAATGCCAACTTTAAATAGCGACTTGGTGCTGCTGTGTTTCGTATGGTGAGCGTAGATAACCGGAGACCCTTGTTACTAGAAAAGAAGCATTCCATCTTAGTCCTCGTGGCTGACAACGCATCTGCATTTCGATTGGCAAACTAGGATACACGCTACGTCTGTAGATGTCTATGGGCCACAGCAACCACCATCAGATGAACTGGGTGCTCGCTTGTCACCCTTATCTTATATAAAAAAATTGTGACATTGAGAGTATATTATATTTATTTAAATAATTAATCAAACTGTTATTTAACACTTTTTCTATTATTTTCTATATTTTTTATTTTAAATTATTAGTTTAAAATATATATATAGTCGATGACTAATCCCAGAAATAAAGTATTGTTTGTTTGAATCTTTTTTAACTGGTGACGTCATGCATGGTACCTACAGATGCGCAGGAGCTGCGGTACGCGTATACACACGGGGGTGTGCGAGTGTGGTGGCGCGGGGCGGGCAGGCGGGCGGTACGCTTCGCACAGAACATCACGCGCCCGCTCGAGCACTGGCGCAGCGTCGACGTCACGCAGCCCAGCGTGCAGGTACATACTGTGTGTACACTCGGCGAGCGGTGCGCTTCGCACAGAACATCACGCGCCCGCTCGAGCACTGGCGCAGCGTCGACGTCACGCAGCCCAGCGTGCAGGTACATACTGTGTGTACACTCGGCGAGCGGTGCGCTTCGCACAGAACATCACGCGCCCGCTCGAGCACTGGCGCAGCGTCGACGTCACGCAGCCCAGCGTGCAGGTACATACTGTGTGTACACTCGGCGAGCGGTGCGCTTCGCACAGAACATCACGCGCCCGCTCGAGCACTGGCGCAGCGTCGACGTCACGCAGCCCAGCGTGCAGGTACATACTGTGTGTACACTCGGCGAGCGGTGCGCTTCGCACAGAACATCACGCGCCCGCTCGAGCACTGGCGCAGCGTCGACGTCACGCAGCCCAGCGTGCAGGTACATACTGTGTGTACACTCGGCGAGCGGTGCGCTTCGCACAGAACATCACGCGCCCGCTCGAGCACTGGCGCAGCGTCGACGTCACGCAGCCCAGCGTGCAGGTACATACTGTGTGTACACTCGGCGAGCGGTGCGCTTCGCACAGAACATCACGCGCCCGCTCGAGCACTGGCGCAGCGTCGACGTCACGCAGCCCAGCGTGCAGGTACATACTGTGTGTACACTCGGCGAGCGGTGCGCTTCGCACAGAACATCACGCGCCCGCTCGAGCACTGGCGCAGCGTCGACGTCACGCAGCCCAGCGTGCAGGTACATACTGTGTGTACACTCGGCGAGCGGTGCGCTTCGCACAGAACATCACGCGCCCGCTCGAGCACTGGCGCAGCGTCGACGTCACGCAGCCCAGCGTGCAGGTACATACTGTGTGTACACTCGGCGAGCGGTGCGCTTCGCACAGAACATCACGCGCCCGCTCGAGCACTGGCGCAGCGTCGACGTCACGCAGCCCAGCGTGCAGGTACATACTGTGTGTACACTCGGCGAGCGGTGCGCTTCGCACAGAACATCACGTGCCCGCTCGAGCACTGGCGCAGCGTCGACGTCACGCAGCCCAGCGTGCAGGTACATACTGTGTGTACACTCGGCGAGCGGTGCGCTTCGCACAGAACATCACGCGCCCGCTCGAGCACTGGCGCAGCGTCGACGTCACGCAGCCCAGCGTGCAGGTACATACTGTGTGTACACTCGGCGAGCGGTGCGCTTCGCACAGAACATCACGCGCCCGCTCGAGCACTGGCGCAGCGTCGACGTCACGCAGCCCAGCGTGCAGGTACATACTGTGTGTACACTCGGCGAGCGGTGCGCTTCGCACAGAACATCACGCGCCCGCTCGAGCACTGGCGCAGCGTCGACGTCACGCAGCCCAGCGTGCAGGTACATACTGTGTGTACACTCGGCGAGCGGTGCGCTTCGCACAGAACATCACGCGCCCGCTCGAGCACTGGCGCAGCGTCGACGTCACGCAGCCCAGCGTGCAGGTACATACTGTGTGTACACTCGGCGAGCGGTGCGCTTCGCACAGAACATCACGCGCCCGCTCGAGCACTGGCGCAGCGTCGACGTCACGCAGCCCAGCGTGCAGGTACATACTGTGTGTACACTCGGCGAGCGGTGCGCTTCGCACAGAACATCACGCGCCCGCTCGAGCACTGGCGCAGCGTCGACGTCACGCAGCCCAGCGTGCAGGTACATACTGTGTGTACACTCGGCGAGCGGTGCGCTTCGCACAGAACATCACGCGCCCGCTCGAGCACTGGCGCAGCGTCGACGTCACGCAGCCCAGCGTGCAGGTACATACTGTGTGTACACTCGGCGAGCGGTGCGCTTCGCACAGAACATCACGCGCCCGCTCGAGCACTGGCGCAGCGTCGACGTCACGCAGCCCAGCGTGCAGGTACATACTGTGTGTACACTCGGCGAGCGGTGCGCTTCGCACAGAACATCACGCGCCCGCTCGAGCACTGGCGCAGCGTCGACGTCACGCAGCCCAGCGTGCAGGTACATACTGTGTGTACACTCGGCGAGCGGTGCGCTTCGCACAGAACATCACGCGCCCGCTCGAGCACTGGCGCAGCGTCGACGTCACGCAGCCCAGCGTGCAGGTACATACATACTGTGTGTACACTCGGTGCACAGAACATCACTCGCCCGCTCAAGCACGTATACCGTATCTTTTTATTGAATACAGCTACAAGTCACCTGCTGAAAATATTTCTTCACGAAAGATTACCACAAGACCCTTCTCGCCAGGTGATCACTCCATCTAATGAAGGGCTTCTCTACATACTTCGCTGAAAGTCATTATAATTCACACACAACACATCACTAGCAATTTTAAGTGCTGATCTACCATGTGCTTTACTATAATGGAAATCATCGTGAGGAAACTTGTTGTCTGAGAAATAAAATTATTTACAAGGCGTGTGAATTCTGCGAACGTGTGAAGTTACGCACTGAAACAGTGCAGCGTTTTTATGAATGTAATTTTCGTATTATTTAATTGTGGAATGGTGAAAAATACGGACTCTTTTGTTGCAGCTGGATGACCTAGACCCTACCCTGCCGGTGTACGTGATGGTGACACTGCCGGGCCTTGGGAAGCCCAACCAAGTGCTCACCATACCGCCACGACCCGTTGACAACTACAACATGTACTTGGGTAAGTATTACTACTATTATGTAGTAGCGGTGTAAGATTATCCACTACCCCATATTATCTTGTGAGTGTAATAAGGAGTGACAGGGGAAAACAAACTAGATGGGCAGCTGTTGTCCTAATAACAATAAAAAATGTAAAAAACTGTGGAGTAACGATACTTATAATTTGTTTCAGGTTTAGGAGTAGGTCTGGGCGTGTGCGTGTTGTGTGCGTTGTCCATCGCCGCTGCTTGCTTTTGGAGGAGACACAAGAAGACTCGGTCGCCTGTCAGGTAAGTGTCTTATTTATTATTACTGCTCACTTTTTTATATTATCACACACACACACGCACACGCACACGCTCACGGACGCACCACACGCACACGCACACGCACACGCACACGCACACGCTCACGCTCACGCACGCACACGCACACGCACACGCACACGCACACGCTCACGCACACGCTCACGCACACGCTCACGCTCACGCACGCACACGCACACGCACACGCACACGCACACGCACACGCTCACGCTCACGCACGCACACGCACACGCACACGCTCACGCACGCACACGCACACGCACGCACACGCACACGCTCACGCACGCCCACGCACACGCACGCACACGTACACGCTCACGCACGCACACGCACGCACACGCACACGCTCACGCACGCACACGCACGCACACGCACACGCTCACGCACGCACACGCACACGCACTTGCTCACGCTCACGCACACGCTCACGCACGCACACGCACGCACACGCACACGCATACGCTCACGCACTCACACGCACACGCTCACGTTCGCACTAGCACACGCACACGCTCACGCACGCACACTTACACGCACACGCTCACGCACGCACACGCACACGCACGCACACGCACACGCACACGCACTCGCTCACGCTCACGCACACGCTCACGCACGCACACGCACGCACACGCACACGGATACGCTCACGCACGCACACGCACACGCACACGCACACGCACACGCACACGCTCACGCACGCACACGCACACGCATACGCTCACGCACGCACACGCTCACGCACGCACACGCAAACGCACGCCCAAGCATACGCACACGCTCACACATGCACACGCACACGCTCACACACTCACACGCACACACACACGCTCTCGCACGCACACGCACTACGACTAGGCTTGAATGAATTCATTTAAAAGGTGTGTTATCATAGATTAAGTAACTAAATAACGTTTATCTATGTGTGTTATAAATAGAAATCTAAATTTATCCCCGTAGCCTTGAGAACTAAAATGGAATGTCTCGTTATCAATAAAAAGTGGTCTCCGGCTTTTAATGCTTCCCATACGAAAGACAGCAGCATTAAGTTGCTATTTTACGAGTATATGTATAATATACGGATTGACAATAACAGTATAGAACGTCTTGCACCTTTGATATTGCACCCCGTTACCGGCTTGGGTATTTTACGTCTGCATTTTTTTTGAATTTTTTTGCATTTCTCCTTATTCCTAAGGGTTGCAATGCGTCTACTTTTTTATTTTAATTAGGGATAAATGTTGGTGTTTATGGGCCACAGCTTCCACTTACCATCAGGTGGACTGCATGCTCGTTTGTCACCTTTAAATTATAAACAAATATACGTCCTACTACAATGCTCTTGTCTATCCCTGATCTATACTCATTACAGTCAAATCATCACAAATCTACTGCTTAACAAGGGGTTCCCTCGGATATTACCACAAAGCACAGAGGACAGTCCCGGAATATTTGCATTTGTCGGTACGAGGTTACTCGAGTCCCTTTCTTTCCTATCGATAGTAGGTTCTTCAAACTGGTGAGCTGAAGTGGCAATGGGCTGGCCATGTTAGAAAATCAGGCGTATTATTGAATGGGTTGGTCCCAATTAAATTTAAAGAAAAATTCGGAAAACTAGCAGATGTAATTTTTAATGTAAATATTTAGTCAATATTCTATTCGTTACTTGTAACTTGCCGCATTCTTTAATCTCCTCAAAAAAAATTAACTTATAATAAAAAGTAAAAGCCGACATCAAAGAACTAAAAAAATAAAACAATTTCTACATATGTAAGCTTCTGAAGTCAGGGTTTTAATTACACAATGCTATATACACAATGCCATAACACCGACTTCGGAAGCTATTAGTGGAAATGAGTTTAGTTCTCTGAAGGTCTGCTTTTACTTTTTATTAAAAGTTTAATTTTCGTGACTTATTTTAATTGCCCATTTATTTATTTATTTTTGCATATACATTGTACAATTGGCGAACTTAGTGCATTCTCTTCCAGTCAACCACCATATATATATAAACTAAAAATAACAGTTATTTATGACCTTGCAGTAGAGAGTAAGTTCTGTGGCCTTGAGCGACATTTAGTTTATATAGCTATATATAGCTGTTAACAATCACTTCTCTCCTTAGTTCTATTAAGCTATTTTTCTTATTTAACAGAACACGAAGAAGGAATCAGCCAGCTAACGAGGGTACAGACGAGGAAGGCTCGGAAATGAAGGTAAGAATTTAAATCTATATTCAAACAATGTGTATTTATGTCAAGATGGTCGTATACATAAGCATAACGTTAATACCGTTTGTAATAATGTAACTCCAAAATGTTACGAAAGTAAGCAAATTTTTCGTACCTTTTGTTAATATATATATCACTATATAATTTGTACGCCATATTTTTTATTTTTATGCTATATCTCTCAGTATGGCTTAAATATTAAAATGAAACAATTTAGTGAAATAAGATAAACGTCCCTTTTTAAACAGTTCAGTGGGCAAGAACTATCTGTACACCATGAACCTAGAACTTTCTTTATGAAACGTTACCTCGTAGGCATGTTACAGATTAGGTTTTTCCCTTGTTTTTTTTTTTTAAGAAAACTTTCCAGACCCGAAACAATTATTATTATGCCATAAAAATATTTGTTTCTTGTGGGACTAACCCGCCACCTACATTGCTGCAGCAAATGCTTTGTCAATGCACTAATGGACTCTTAATAAAATATTAAAACTAACATATAAATGAATGCGTTTAAATTGGCGGAGCATTCAATCTTAGTCTTCAGGGATGACAACGCATCTGTAGTTTTCTTTTTTTTGGAGTTGTTTGTAGGCGTTTCTGGGCTACTAGCCACTTACAATCAGGTGTACAGTTAGTTTATTTGTCTCTTGAATTTAATTTAAAAAAAAAAGGTTACTTAAAGTGAGAATAGTAAAGTTTATGTACCATGTAGTGGTACTGTAAGAATATCCGCTACCCCATCTTATTTCGTGGGTGTTGTAACAGGCGACGAGGGAAACAACTCAAGAGAGGGCAGCAGCCTCTTCCAAATAACGCTAAAAAAAACTGCGGTTGCTAACCTGCTTGTCAAACATGGCAACTATGGCAAATATACCTATGAGGCAAACTAAGGGGTAGGCCTATGTTAGGCAGTGATAACGGTAACGGTAGCCAAGTTCATAACAGCCGGTATGTCCAACAAGAACGGAACTAGTTTACCTACCTATATAATATGTGTATCATACTATATATACATCCACAAGCTGTTCCATGCGACTTCGCCCGCGTTGAATTTTTTTGTGCGGTACCCTAAATTAAAGTAGCCTAATAAAGGAGTATAACATCAGTTATCTGCAAGTGAAGTTCCCATCAAAATTCACAGGTTTTTGCGTGATGCCTGTTCACGCCAAAATAGCTCGCAGATGACAGATTTTTTCAGACTTATTTATTATTTATTGTTATATTTTGGCCAATTTACACAATATTTTTATGAATTATAGCTTATGTGTTATTCTGATATACGAGCTATATTATTGTAAAGTTTCATTAAAATACATTCAGTAGTTTTGCGTGAAAGAGTAAGAAACATCCATTCATCGTCACAAATTTTTACATTTATAATATTAGTAGGATAGTAAGATAATATTAGTAGGATAATGAGAAAGTGTATGTCGTCAGGCTATGGGAGTGGAGGCGGGCGGGCGGCTGGCCAACGGCGGCGCGTGCGGCGGCGCGTGCGGCGGCGCGTGCGGCGGCGCGTGCGGCGAGCCGCTGCTCAACGGACACGTGCAGCGCGCGCACGCACACGCACACGTGAGCACCACACGCACACGCACACGTGAGCACCACACGCACACGCACACGCACACGCACACATACGCAACATCCTTGTATACTTAAACGCAACCTTACGTACAGTCAGATCCAAAACGGTTCACGTGATTCATCGTTGACATAATATGTCATAATCATTTTTACAGCTTTGTGTTAGTGTAATCGATTTTAGAAAGTCCACTTACACTAGTGCGAACTCTGGTGGGATGTTTTTTTAAATCATTTGAATAAGGGTGACAAACGAGCACATAATCCACCTGATGGTAAGTGGGGGCTGTGGCCCATAGGTATCTACATTTATCCTCGATTAATAATCAAAATGCAGATGCGTTGTCACATCTGAGGACTAAAATGAAATGCCTCGTTTGCAGTAAAAAGTCACCATACAAAACACAGCAGCATTAAGCTGCTATTTCATGTTGGTATTCTGTGAGAGCGTGATCCTACACCCGGTGGAGCCGATCCATCTCATATCTGCAGCATGACTCTACCACGTAAAATATTTAAATTTTCTATTCTTTCATTTATTCATTCAACACAGAGTATGAAAATCTGCTGGTAAACACAGATTACCTTATAGGGGGGATATTGGCCATAGTTTGCATTCGGATTGGGAACGGCAGTTGTTTTATATTATAGTCGTTATTAAAAAAACACTGCCGCCCATCTTCTGGTTTGTTTTCCCTCTGTTTCCTCTTAAGACATCCACGGAACCATATGGAGTAGGGCATATTCTTATACCACTGCACACTCAATATTTGTCTAATTGTCTTTTGTCTCAAGCATTACCAGACCTTGAAAAGCCGCATCCTATCTGTATATCTTAGTTGATATCTGATAGATTTTTATATTAATAGTCTGCCATATTTGTTATTCGATAATTATGAAACCATATCGTCCCGTGGGTGTCGTAAGCTGCGACAGAGCGAAATTGAAACAGGCCAAAGGCATCGGCATCTTCCTAATAACAGCTCAGAATAATGAAAACTGCGGTTGCCAATCCACCTGCCAAGCGTGGTAACTATGGCAAAATGCCCTCAACGAGGCAATCTATGGAAGAGGTCTATGTTCAGCAGTGGACATTATAGGCTGTAATAGATGGATAGAATTATGAAACCCTTGAGAAAATGAATTGTCATGTTGAATTTCCATTTGATGTCCACTGCTGATATATGGTATTTCCCATAGATACCCGTGGTTTGCTGTAATTCGGTATGTAAAGAAAATTATAAGCCATGCTGATTTTGAAAACGTTTCAATATTAATCATATATAAATTTAAAACAAAAAAAAAACGTATTTCGCTGTTTAGAGATCTTAAAACACGGGAAAAATGTGTGAAATTATTTGACTTTCATTTCAACTCCAAATGACGTCACAAAACATACTGAAGTGAGACCAATATCTAGTGATTTAAAAACAATTTTGTCATAATTGATAAGTTATTATAATCTCGTTTTATGAAGCAAATATATAAAAGCGACAGTTTAAAAACAATTTGCATACCGAATTTTGCAAGTCTTCTTCTAGAGGAAGAAGACTTGGGCAAGTACACTGTTCACACTGTACACTGTTCTACACGTAGTTTTAAAAAAATACTATTTCTACTTAATCATTCCAAGCAAAGTTTGATTAACTGTGGTGAACCACTTCTAACACAAGCATTTTGCTTGTGTTAGAAGTGGTTCACCACAGTTAATCGAATGGCGGATTCGAAACTTCTGATTTGTAAGCTTACATGCATTTATAAACTCATGGTTTTTATATGTAATGAAGTCAATCTAATTACAAATATGTTTTTCTCCAGTCAAAGACACCAAATGGCAAGCTGAAGAAAGGCCGCCTCTATGAGGCGTTCGACGTGTCACGCAACGATCACGACACGACTGCGGAGACGGTGCTCGACGACTCAACTTCAACGTTCAATTTTCTCGACACCTCGCGTCGTCCAGAGTTCGAATCCCGGCCGGAGCTCACCGCCAACAACTCCTTCCAAAAACTCCCAGACGACAATATGAACTCCGAGCTAAACAGGGGTACCGAATTTCAGTTAGACAACAGCAAAATTCAGCCAACGCTGCAGCCCAACGGTTGAGATATCAACCGTCACAGACCTATAGAATTACAAGGGGGTGGGCGACCCCCCAAATCGACTAACGTCATAAATTCAGTTAAGGGCGGTGTCGATGTATATTTAGTACTGAATAGGTTGGCATTTTGTACAGAATCTCCACAATTAGCTAGATGGACTCATTAAGAATACCTGCGGTAACGCTTATGTGGTTCGGCAAAGGTTTGCGCGAGGATAGCTTAGCGTGTTTTGTTCCTAAACTAGACTTTATTTTCAATGATACAAGGCTGATTTTTGCTAACAATAGTAGTACGGGTACGTTATACGTAATTTATTGTAGTTCCGTCTATCCCCTTGAAAATATACCTTATTCGATAGGCACGTGAAGTTATTCTCGCTTAAACTCACACGGTCATCCTAACAATAGCTGACATGGTTTACTCCCGTTGTATTAATTGTAAATATGCGTTATTATTGCCCTTATTGGGCGAAGCACGAGCACACATATTGTTCATAGATCGGCCTGAGATTATGCGGCGAGACAATAAAAAAGTGGCGCGAAAAATTATAACCTTAAACATTGATTAAATTAAAAAAGAGAAGATACGGTACTTACCATATAAAAGTGGACCACGAAAACTACGTCTAACTGGAGCGTTATCATTTAGTTGCAGTCGATGCTATTTACACCGGCACTACAGGGCAAACATCGTAACCTCGTGGAATGAGTATGTAATAAGTTATGGACCAAGGGATTAATCAGGGCACTATTTATAATGCCCGGGCAATATGTATAATGACAACTCAAATCGGGCTATGTAATTAATACTGGTTTAAATAACATAAAACATATAACACAACATAACCACTCACGCCTGTCACCCAGAGGGGTAGGCAGAGACTACGGACTTCCATTTCGCACGACCCTGACACACCCCTCTCGCCTCCTCCACATCCATATACCTATGCATACATACCTACACGCTCGTCGGTTAAGGGTACTCTTATTTTTGCCCATTTTCAATATATCGCCAATTTGGTCGATAAACTCCCTAGGGCGTCCCTTCCCGACTCTGCCGTTTACATCTGATTTAAACTTCATTATTTATCACATTGTCTGGTCATTATGAATATTGCTACGTAACTGTTGGGCAATTTGATATAAACAACCTATCCTGTTATATTAAATGCTAATCACCTTTAAGACAATAGTTGGAAGTAAAGACTAGAAATGAGTTGGGGGGTGACTCGAACTATAAGCAGTTTGAATAGCCTACCATGTAAAGGATGTCATGGGGGTCATGGTTGAATAGAGGCATAAAGTTCTCACTACACTCCTAGGGGTCAAAATGGCCAAAAAACCAAAAAATTAAAAATTCTTATTTCGGCTATAACTCCACCTCCTTTGGAGGTTCTTACACAGTCTTTACTTCCCGCATCCCACTAGTTTCATAATGTACCAAATTTGAAATTAACAAGTATAAAAATATGAGGGAATGGAAAAACCACTTTGCAGTCTCTAATAGCAGCAACGGGGTATAACTTCCTTTGCGTTGCAAAGAAAAAAAAACCTAACCTAACCTATCTTTTTATTACTCTGCCCAAGTCAATTTATTTATTTCAATAGTTTTAAAAACAAAAGTGTTACGTTTCTTTGTAACATTTTCTTATAACGTTTCACCGCCGGGGCTGTATGAGTATACTATTGTTTATTCTAAGTTCTTATGTAAAATATAAAATAAAGATCTTCGTACGTCCACTTCGTACGTGTGTACAGTTACACTCACAATTTTTATCACATTGCCTATTTTATATTATATATATTGGACATTATTCATTTTGCCCAGACATTATCATATTAATTTTAATTATCAAACACATAGTCCATAACATATATATTTATCAAACAAAGAAATTGCATTAATACTTATCTCTTAATAAGGCTTACATGGATAGCTAATTGTCGGGTACACACGTACTGCTCTTCTTTAAAGTAAGAATTCTTTGAATAATCATCGAAATTATTACCTGCTCATTTTACAAATGTGTCTCAATTGCTCTAGTAAAAATAAAGTCATTGCATTCACTTGCACCTTTTATGTGTAATCCTTTAGTTTTTTATTGTTAAAAGCCAATATTTTATGCAATAAAATTAACTGGCCAATGTTATTGTGGAAGCGAGATGGAGCACTACGGTCAGTATGTCTCGTTTCTGCCTGTATTGCTAAGTTTGTGTGCGTATTGTACGTAGTCCATTTTATGATTATGAAGTTTGTGCGTACCGTACCTTCTCCTTTTTGTTTATATCAATGATTTAAAAAGATGATGCGACAAGCGGTAGCCGCTGTTGTCATTTTATGCTCACTTGTATGAATTGTCTACCTTGAGTCGCAGTGCCTCCAAAAAGTACACATTAAAATATTCTTGTATAAAGAACTATGATATAATTCACCGTTAGTGCAACTTAAGCGTACAAAATATAGACCAAAATGGAATCCAAACACCCATTCATAGCCTGAACTCACATGTACATATTGCGAAAATATTTATTGATGTTGAAAAAATTATTTATTTTCTCTCTGCTGTTTTAATTTCATAGACAAAGCCTTAGAAGCTATCACTTACCTCCACATTACATTCCAGTTTTATACAAAATAGATTCCACATATATATATCACATCGCAGTAATTTAAATCTAATTTTTTTTGTTAACGCACAGTTTATTTCCATATTATAATCCTGTTATAGTTTATAGTTAGCAGTTATCTGACGCTCCACAAAGTTGTTTTTTTAGATACTTAAAACCTAAGAAAACAGTTAGATAGTATAAAGATAAAATTGTAAAAAGAATAAAAATATTTAAATATTAAATATTACAACGAACTACTAATATTATATGAAACACGTGAAATAGTTTATCGATAGTGTTATGAAAGTTACTAAACGTTATTTCTAATGTGTACCTTTTCCTTGAGACAACGGAACTTTGTTATGAAACCTGTTTTTTTTTAAATTGTATAAAAATACAAGTTCGTTGATCATTATTCCATATCACAATTATATCTACCTCATTTTCTTCGTTGTAAGGTTCTTTTAGGTGTTAACGATTTAAATGTTGAATCGATTTAAGTTTTCTTTTTCTGTAATACCCATCGATCTGTGGGTAATAGGTTATTTCCGCTACAGACGGTAAATTCTGGTAGCTAGTATTTTTTTTAATTTATTTTAGCACTAAGACTGTATTTTACTGGATTTCTTTATTGCACAGACACACATAGTTTCACCGTCACTGGTAGAACTCATCAGACATCGCACCGTATTTTACGTTATTTATTCAAACAATAAGTTTTTAGTTTGTTCCGCCTCCCTCATATATTTTATTGTATATTAATTCAAAAAATATCAAAATATAAATTAAAAAATATGACTTTGTCCTAAATTGAGTTACCAAAATTAAAAAAAAAAATATACTTGTAACTCCTTCCCTACTACCTTAGGTTTTCATTGAAAATTATATAATTTTTTTTTAATATTAAAAAGTTGACAAAAACTACTTGCTTCTTCATACAAACGCGTACAATAAGTAAGTATATATAACTCGATGCACCTAGGTACAATTTATTCGTGTAAAATAAGTCTTATTGAGATCAGCGGAAGCATTTTAAGAAGTCAAACGCAGTTAAGTGAGAATTTACAAATTAAATCTATAAAATTTTTATAAAATAATATCTCAACCAATGGCATTAGAATTTAAAATTTTATTAAAAACTAAAACGCAGTTAAAATTCCATAAAAATATTTATCTTGTTTACCTAAATTTTAAAAGATGTCTGATCTATAAAAGAAAAATTATTTTTCATTTGACTTTTTAAAATGCCAGCTGCGTTGTAAATATAATATAAATATAATCTATTAACTCAGATTAAATTTAAAAAAAAATCGCCGACTAAGTACCTGAAAATTTCAATTACAATAAGTTAACTTAGGCGTAGAGTTAGCTCTTAAAATCTAAATTTTATCTTTGACGCTAGGTTTTGTCACAGGGTCTAAAGCTTCGATTTTGACACCAAGGGCTAAGAGGGGTTAAGCCGGTGTTCATATTGTTTAGTTTTCCGCGTGCCGTGCGTTATGAGTGCGCGAATTTCGCTGTTGTCATATGTGATTGGCGGGAGAATGATTGGACCAAGTTTTGGCCAAATATACAAGTCGGTGCCAATGCAATTTTCTCGAACGTAAACAATGCTTAGTTACTCCTATTTTTAATTATTTATGTATAAATTCTTAATGTTAGTCCATAAAAAAATATTTTATTCTTCTTTGGAATTTTAGCTATTAAATATATAAAATTTTAACAAGTCTCGAAGACAAAGTGGATGTCCTGTCGGACTCAGATCTGCCGGGCAATCTTCTAAGGCAGGGGTGGCGAACCAATGGCACTCGACAAAAAATTTTGGTCACGTCACCGATCACAAAGTTCACTATGAAGTATTATATTACGAACGAACACGAGTGAACGGATATGGAGTGTTCGTGCGTGGGGCGGCGGTAATCACGAAGTCAAAATTATTTTACGGCACGTCCTATGGCCCCATTAAACATTTCTTTAGAAAAATGGCAGGTTGGTAGATAAAGGTTTACTACCCCTGCTCTAAGGAATGCTTCGCCATGTCCTTATTGCTACCACAGTGGTGGCACTCGGTTACCGGCTCTCCTTGGCCTATTTAGCACATATACTTACTAAAGCCCCTAAGAATTTTAACTATTAAATAGGAGTTCCTAAAGACTGTTTAAATTTGTAGAATATTGGATTGGAACAGGCTTTATGTTATTATGGATTCTAAAGGTAATTGTTAGACCCTATGTCAGTGTTGTCAGTATCAAGGAACAACTGCAAGTAACTTCAAACAAAGATGTCAATACATGCCTCTGAAAACAGCATACCCCTTAATCTACAAATTTGAACGTTTTCAATCTCAAACAAAATGTTATTTCTTTTAAATTTTTTGTAGTTGTGTGGAATCAGA